ACTGAGCATCTTTCTCTTTGACACCATGTCTGATATCCCACGTGATCTGTCAAATACTAATGCATGAAAATCCTAACCTCAAAAAAATCACCCGATATTTACTCATTCATCGAACTGCAAATAGTAAGCGGTAAAATTTGTAGCTTACTATTGTTATTGGCGCCAAGAAAAAGCGGCTTGCACATATCATCATTCTACAATAGTGTTGCTAGCCAAGGTTACACAGAATCCCGAACTGTTATTGATTAAACGGTAATATTTGCCTTTACTATCCAGATATCACTGTTCTCAGCATATCCTCATCATTCGCTCTCACCGAAAAAAAAAATGAGCACTGGTGCCAGATGGGAATAATAGTTGGTCATCAAATTATCAAGAAATCACTATTCTGAAGAGCGTTTCTTTAGTCGATTCTTTAATAGATTCGATATAGAGAATAATTACTAACTAACTGCAGATTTTTTAGCGTTGTCTGTGCTTGGGTCTTTCGGTTCAGAAATATACATTGGAAATTTTTTGACATTGTTTGTCGTTGGACGATGACCAAATGTGATAGATCTTTTAACTATGTGGAAATTTGTTTTGCGAAAAGGAGTACCTGGACACCTATTATTTACTGCATAAATAGGTGCAGCGAATAAATTTAAATTTCCATAAAGATAGAAATATGTTTGTATGACATTCATATCTCTAAACCCGAAATTTGCTGCGTTGCAAGCATTTAGCGCTGCCAGTCAATTCACCTGAGCGTCTACTCAATCATGGTTTTGTAATTACATCGACCTCTTGGGATCGCAAGATTCCGCATCACCTCACCGACGAACATAAAACCAACATCACGATGGCTACAGTTGCACTTGCAACCTGTACGTGCAACAAAACCGAGTAACCAAGTTAAGCATAGAAAGCGCAACCACTGCAAACCATATGGACGAATTGTGTGTTTTTGTTGTTGTACTACACGTTGGACTCTTGACTGCGGTCTGCTTGGTTATAGTGGAGCTGAGTTCAATTTAATGGTTCGCTATGGACTGACTCTGCGAACGCGGCATTCCTACCTTGCAGCGCCTCTTAGAGCAGCGCCTGAGCTGTGGCTCATGTTAATGGCATCTAATGTTTTTGTGGTTTTGCTTTGTACCATTTTTATTTACCGCTATCAGGCATTCAGGTTGGGTGCACACTTCCAATTTTATTGGCAGGCAGGTTGGGCATCGAGCCACCACCGCGCCGCGTTGATTATTATAATTTTCGCCGTAGTTCGATTACCGCGGATAGGTACATTCATACATACGTACATACAGGAATGAGTATATATATGCATATGTGCAGAATTATCTGCGCTTGAAAGTTTCTATCACCTGTGCTCAGTTTATTATGCTGAGTAAAATGGGCGGGACAAAGATTTTGGTTTTTGCGCCTTACAAATGGATTTCGAATTTTCTGAGAATTTAAATGTGCATATTTCTAATTTTTTTTCTACTTAAACAAATGTATCATAAATATATAAATACTAGCAGTTGTTTTCAATTTGTGTTCACAACAAAGTTTGTTAATGCAGAATATTTGGAATACCAGACTTGAGGAATTAATCAATGTTATTTATGTATGTATGACATTATTTGCATTATTTGCAACGAAGCTATCAAGAAATAATGCTGTGGCCATCTGTTGAGAAATATCCGAGTGTGTAGTACAGAACCTTAAAATAAATTTTTAACAACGTACATATATACCAAGCAGACTGAAAATCTTATACCCTTTTATGGGCAAAATTCGATTTTATTATGCTCTCATATTTTCGTTAATATTTTTATTGTACGATTGGCTTCTGCCTCAAAACACGCTTCAGTTACACTTTTTGAGCTTTGATAACCACAAAACGTTGCAAGTGGGCGAATTCTAAAAATGCATTGAATATGGAAACAGTTCGAGGCCAAATTCACTCCACTTAGGAGAATTCTCTTTTAATTTTAATATATGATAGCACGGCACAAAGCCTTTGCAAATCGAAATTCTCATGAAAGATGATATCAATCCCCTTGCTTTCCTTCTTTTATATGTTTTATACATACCGCCAGGTACTCCCCATTCACCTATTTCTGAGAATGCACATAAACCAGTCCAACATAAGAGGACGATCGGAAAAATACGTCAGCCTTCGCCAGGCGGCGCATACATGCAATTTAATGACTTTGACAGGAGCCACCTTGAGCTCAAGACATTGTAGCTAGCGACACCCATTGCCCAGTCGACCCCCGGGCGGAGGATACAGCTAAGAGGAATTTTAGTTGACCTTTATCTATTGAAGTACTATATTTTAAACAACGTAAAAGCTGTATTTATGGCATCTGTATGTTAATACATTTAAAAATGTCAAATTAGTACTAAAATTTTTTGGATGAATCTAAATGATAACGTTAGAAACGACGAAAGAATCATTTGTGAAATTTCGTGAAAATATCTTGTCAAATATAACAGATTTCCAAATGACAACTTAATTTTTATCTTAAAAACTGAGGGTCTGGTTCGCGTACATATAGACGGAAGGAGGCGATATATCGTCTCAGCTCTTCACGCTCTTCATTTATGGTATATTTATTAGGTCTAGAACTTTTTTTTTTTTTGTAAATTTAAGGCTTTATGGTACAAAAACGGTCCACAAGTGTTTTCCCTTATTCCCTCAAAAGCAATGCTTAATTAACACACGAAATGATCCATTTTTCATATAGATGGGAGGAGTGGAGTAATAGTATTATCTATGTTTGTGTCAGCCTGAGTAAAGAAAAAAAAAAAATTTCCCGCAAATGTCATTTTCAGTTGACAATAAGTTTGGGATGCAACGGACCTTTGTGGCAAACCTAATATACCATGTATAGAAATATTAATTTTTGATGTGAAAAAAGTGTAAATTTGAGATAAGAAATATCGGCCACCAAAAGGTTAAACATTTTTTCGGGCATTTCGTTTTTGAAACAAATAATTTTCTATTTATGATTATTTTTATTAATGGATGACCTGGTTAGTGGGGTATCAGTAATGGAAAGAAACATAAAAAGTAACTTTGAACAACTTTCTTGTGCAACTAAATATTTCGAGCATGTACACTTTTTACTGATAGTGCATTTCTTGCGATAATTAGTCTACGATAACGAACATTGCAACACATTTTTTATGAGTTAAGTAGTGAATTTACTGCGCTCGGTTAATAGAAAATACATAAGTAGATTCAGTTTAGAGTAATAAAGAATAATTTGATATTTTTCTACTTTCAGATAACACATGATTTTTCAGGAAATCGGCTGAATAATGTAAGTACCATCTTACTCTCATGTGCAAAAAATTATAAATTCTTATTCACATAGATTTTTGTACCATTAACATACGTATTCATGTATATATGTACATAGGTGTATTTGTTTGGATAATTCATTGTACAAATTTATTCATATAAGTAATAAAAATTAAATAAATTTGAGCAGTCAACATAATTCAACATCAACATAAAGCATAAAAATTGCCATGAAACTAACACAGTTCACAACTTAATTGAATAAAGACATTATTTATGTATGTATATACTTATGTATGTATTATGAATGGATTTACAAATGATTGTCTACAACGTGCTTACATACATATGTATGTACATATGTACTCGTCATGTCATATTTGACACAAATTCTTTAATTTTTTCTGGCACTGCACCTTTTTTGTGTGATTATAGTGCACATTTTATGTATTATACAGGGTGAATATGAGGATTAGAAAATAATGTTGAAGAAAATTATATAGTGCTGTGATCAAATTGAAAGGCGAATTTTGTCCATTTCATCTTCTTCAAAGTAATCCCCTTCCCCTGCAATACACTTACGCCAATGAATTTTCCAGTCATCATACCTCCGTCGTGATGGCCATCAGAGCCTTCTTCGATTCAGCTTTAATATCCCCAATTTAGTCAAAACGGTGTCTTGAATTTGTTGAATAGCCAGAAGTCACACGAAGGTAAATCAAGCGAATGCGGTGGTTGCGGCACGATATTAGTTAAAAAAGTGGCGAAATGATCACGAATAACCAATGCAGTATGAGATGGTGCATTACCGTACTTCTTTGTTCAATAAATAATGAATATTTGACATAGATGTCACTAACAGTACTACCAAATCACAGAAAAAAAAATTTACCGATACGAAAAACACGCGAAGTATAAATTAGAAATTCACCTTTCAATGTGATCACCATTTTTTTGGCGTTTTCGAAGGCAAGGCATACAAGTACATTTAGAAATTGGCTCTCCATGTCTTCATGGTAGAGTTAAATTCAAAACATTGCTCTACATTCTTTTTTATTGGGTGACTGATTATGCAAGGCCCTGTAAATTCCATGTATTTTGACACATAAATATGTATAAGTCTTTAATAATATCATATAAATATAATTTTTTTTTGTATAAAGTGACTTTATATGCATCGATATTAATTTATTAACATATAAAGTTTAACGTATGTACATATTAGGTTGTCAAAAAAGTCGTGCGATATTTTCGCTAGTTGGCGCTGAGAGCGCGTAGTTCTAGGTTTATTCGTCGCATGGGGTCATGCTATACCTTTTTGGAGCTCATTTCATGCTCTAACATGTGTTTGATTGATTGTCGTTTCTTTTAAGACGTTCGTGAGTTATAGCGTCGCAAACATGGACTACTACGATAAAGGCAAAAATGCATCTCAAGCCCCCAATAAAATTTGTGCAGTTTATGGACGCGATACAGTTTCCATTTCCACTGCACAACGATGGTTTCAACGTTTTCGTTCTGGTGTGGAGGTGGTCGAAGATGCGTCACGCTCCGGAAGGCCTGTCGTCGAAAATTGCGATAAATTCGCTGAATTGGTCGAAAGAGACCGGCATAGTAGCGTAGCATTGGTCAAGAGGTGGGCATGAGTCATCAAAAAAAATTTTATGAACAATTGAAAATTCAATAAAATTACCGCAAGACTTTTTTGACACCCTAATATATTATACATACATATAATAAAACCCGTTTCATTAAAATATAATTATTCTAGTACAATCATTTTTCAAATAGTGAAACAGTTGGTATTGTCATTATTGTTATGATGATTACTATATCCCACAGCCCGGAAAATAAATAATGGGAAATTATGAACGAATAAGAAGTAGTAAAATCGGGCTCCCTCCGCAGCTAGCCGATTTTTATGAGCATTAAAGCTCATCGGCACACCTGCTTGCACTGCGTTGTGTTTGTTTTCGTACAATGTTCATTGTTTATGACTGCTGCTCAAATAGCACAGTTTCGGAGAAAAAACCTTGCAATAAGTATATTAGTGTTGTTTAATTTATAACTAAAAAATGAGAAGCAGTTTTTTAAAAGCTGTTTTTTATAATATTTGGACTTGATTTTATACCAAGTAATCTCACTGTTGACAGACATAACTTTGAAGTCGTAGATAATTTCGTCGTATCTTTGGGCCAACAACAATATCAGCCTCCTGCAATATGGTGGGGAGGCATGGACAATGACATCATCTGATGAGTCGAATTTAGGAGTGGTCGAGCGTAAGGTTTTGCGGAAGATTTATGGTACTTCGTTGTTGTTGTTGTTTTTGTATCGACAGAATTCTGCCGAGTTTACAGTTCTTAACCGGATTAAAAATCCGTGTCCGTTCTGATTGCGTAGACCCGACTGTCGTGGAAATGGATCTTTTCCTCATTGGTTACGGCGAATACTGAAGTTGATGGAATGAATCAAAGAGCAGACTTCACGGTGGAACAGAGGAGACCCCCACAGTGGGAGGAGATCAGGTGGAGGTGGACCTGGCTGCATTTGGTATCTTAAATTGGCGTCAAATAGCGGAAAGAAGAAACGACTGGCGCGCTTTAAATATTTGAATTATTATTTTTATGTTATAGAACCAAAAATGTTCTCAATTTAAATCCTGGGTATCAAAATTATAGTGTAAATAATTTAATTATATTACATATCTGATTATTTACTACTATTCTTTAAAAATAAATACACGCAGTATGTATGTATGTATGTACGTATAAAAGTTTGTGCTGACAAGGGATGATTTTAATTATATTACATATCTGATTATTTACTACTATTCTTTAAAAATAAATACACGCAGTATGTATGTACGTATAAAAGTTTGTGCTGACAAGGGATGATTTCTCGCGAACAGGAATTATATACAAGTATTTATACATTTGTACATATTTGTTATTGTACTTATGTGCACACAGATTTCATCTCCCCTTTTATCTTCAATCGGGTTACACCCACGCTAACTGTAGTAAAGCGCTCATGAATGGAACATAGCATTCCTACAGGAAGCTGACTTATCCTTTGCACAACCACATTTTATTGAGAGCGTAACAGAATTAGGTTAAACACGAGTAGGCGGATGCCAGTATGTAAGTGTGTGTTGTGTGCGCGTATGAACAATGCTCATGCAAACCTATAAAACACAGAATCGAAAAAATATACATACATATGTAAGTGAAAGAATTATACGCCAACAAGGATAGCATATATGAATATACTACAGTCATAAGTACACATATTGTATGTATGTATAGTATATGCGTTTATCGCCGTGTTCCTCCTTATTTATGTTTGCGGATAAATGGAGAGATTTGTTGAAAATAAAACTCGAACACAGATAATATAAGGGACAGCTAAGACAAAGATCTCTTCAATCAGATGCGTTATTTTGCATTTTTTAAATGCAAAAATAAAATTATAGTCGTTCTCTGATATAGTTTACTAATAATATAATATTACTTTTTCTATTACATCATTAGTGCTTTATACCTTTCTGTTGACACTGTTTTGATATGTTCCGATTCTTTACGAAAAGAACATATTCATTCTATATTTCTGCTGCATATTTTACCATTTTTCTAGACACCATATGTAGGCGATCTCTTCACTCAGCTGACATCATAATATGAGATAAACATAAAAAACTTGAAATTCTATGGAAACTGCTTTCCAATCGATTTAAAATCATGCCTTGGTCTTTTCACACATGCTGTTTCGACGATTTCCGAACTCGCTAGACATCTTAAACGTTTTCGCCGACTAACTAACCAGCGTGAAACGCTGTCGTTGTTTTGTACGCCGCCGATCAACGAACGCCATCACCAGCAACGGCCATGTGCAAGTACAATTGTGACCCAATTCCTAGCGCCAAGAATAAATGCATACACACATATACACCGCCAAGAAATAAAAAAAAAGTCACTAAATTCTAGATACGCGCGGCTTAAACGTCGATTGAGGCATTTTCACGCGCCGTCAGCAGCAACATAGACATCAACGGCAGCGCCGCCACAGACCGCAGCAGCTAGAAATAAGAATGAGAGTGGCTGAAGTACGCTAAGTTTCGCACTCAGCTGCTCAGTGTGTTGTCCGCGTTACGTTGTCTGTATGTAAAGAAAAATAAACAAATTTTTAGGCAACGAGGCAAGAATTTTGCAAGCGAATCTCCATTCTTCTGCCAGTAAGTCTATTAAAGCAAAACGCGTCTGCATTGCTCTTCCGTTGCAACACAAGCCTTATTTCTAGTAAACGATTTCGCGCCTGAGGCTAAGTGCACATTGGAGCGATGATTGAAATAACGCAATATGCATAATTTTGTGAGGTTTCATGATTGCTGAGACTTTTCTGGAAGTTTGATTTTGGTTCGTTCAGGTTAGAAGTGATGTATAAACAAGTGAGGGGGAAAAAACAAACGGGCGACATTAAAATATAGATAATTATCCCTACAAATATTGAATGGAACACAAAAATCTGTATGTTTTCCATTCTCACTTATTCTTAATGTTCTACTCTGCGCTTAGCCTTAGCGCGACTGTAAAAAAGCTGTGCGCTGTCTCTGACACGAAGTGCGCCAATTGATTTGTCCGACCTAATAGAATTGTTGTTGCATTGCTGATTTGAATTCAATTAAAGTGCTTCCTGCCGGCACAGTCACCGCCATGTATACACACATACACACCTAATGTATGTATATGCATATTAAAATGTTTGCTGCCGCATTCGCACAATTTTATCATCATAAGTTACACAATTCGATTTGAATTGCTGCCGATATTTGCACTTAATCTTTGCCACTGACTTACATAGTCGAACATGCAAGTTTTTTTATGTGATTGTTGTTTTCGCTTTTATTTTACACGTTGATTGCACTACTACAATCAAATGTACTCATTATTATATTACTATTATGACACATTTTCATTTCTGCGATTTTCCTTGCTTCTTCGACTTCGATCTCCTTTGGCT